GGGGGGGGGGGGGGGGGGGGGGGGGGGGGGGGGGGGGGGGACTGGAGAAAAAGGAGCCTACGAGAGGAAAGATGATAACAGAGTGTGTATGTGGGGAAGGAAGGAAAAAAACAAGCAAAACAATTGAAGAGGAGGAAACGGAATGCTCTGAACTGAGTAAGCATTAAATGTCACAAGGCTTTCAGAGCCGTTTAATTCTAACGGTCTACACATGTTAGAGATGATATGTGTGCTTATGTGGCACAAATGATCTGCCGCTGCTGACCCCCGACAGCCAAGCTACACGCCGGTTTGTTTGAACATAATAGCCATTAATGGACTAGAAAGTGACGGGTTGCAGTTGTTCTCTCAAACGTCAAAACACAGGCCAGTTGTTTCACTGCAAATTTCTTAATCATTCTGTATCACGATATGTAACAGAAAACCCATTCAGCATTGTGTTTCTTTTCAGCTCACCACATCTAGATGTGAAAAGACCTCTACATTAATGGAGCAATCTGCACTAATGACTCTTATTACCTCATCGTTAGGGCCATTTGCGCAGTGGGCTATGAGTGTAATGGTGGGTGTGGACTCTTAAACTGTAGGGACCCCTTTCTGTCTTAATCGTTACTCTGTGACATGCTGACCTGGTGGCCCCAGGTAAAGTGTCCCAGGGGTGCCACGTGTTCCTTAAATACCTCTGTCAAGTCTGAATTCAGACATTCATGGCATACAAGATTGATTATTATACATAAAAAAAAGTAGCAGAGGACAAAGACCAAGAAATCTAATTTCTTTGAGAATTTCTTCGCTGACTGGACAAAAGAAATTAACATTTTTACTCCACTTTTTCCTTTTTAAAAATAAAAATAGACCTATATCAGAGCCAGGTAAGACAAGATACTTAAGATGTATACCTATAAAAATGCTGAATGTAAAAGAGAAAAAAAGCGCTTTGGTCAGGGCTGCACCATTTGTTCAGGCTTGTTTTTCTCTTTAAACCTCCGACCGGTGAGAAAGCTCCCATGCCTCAAACCTAAGCACTCCACTGTCAAATTGCTTAATCAAGCTTCACAGTTCCTCTGCATCTTCCCTCTGATGTTCAAAGAGCTGCTTTGGACTACACATCACAATGCATTGATCATAGCAGAGTTTCCAAACGGACTTACTTTCCTTGACCAATAACTTCTATCACCACTTTCTACAAACCTGCGACTGCTTTGTGTCACATTTTGGCGTGGGAGTGCAACTTTTGTCTTATTGTTACGTGTAGCCACAATGTGCTAACGTTGGGAGCGTGAATGTCAGGTGATATTGGTACTTTAATTAGCTGCACAAGCAACATTAAACAACATTCTTCATTCTTATGGTTTTTTTTACATTTGTATGCTTTTTGGTTTTATTAAATGTACTTAAGGGCCATAAAAGACACGTTTTTTAACAGGTTCTGAAATAATGGACATTAAAGTTGTGTCTTATAAGCAGCTGCGCCTGTAAAATTGAAGCATAAATGCCAAATAATTATTCTAGCATGTAAAAATCTTTTCTTCCAGTTACCAGTTTCTAAACCATTTATTTGTGGCAAGTAAAGAGTAAAAATAAAATGTGTTAGTCGGCTTTCCAAACAGTGCAAAGCTAAATCATTGCTTGCTTTGAACTAATAACAACTGAATTGACACCAACTTTATACATGCTTTGTCCCGCAGGATCACAACTTTTATTTAATTTTTTGCCATGCTGGAAACTGGATGACCTTCACTAATAAAGATAGGTGCAAAAACTAATAATAATAATAACAATATTTATTTAAGAACAAGGATCAGAAAAATCCATCAGTGTTTTTCCAAATAAATCAATTTCACCACAGGCTCTGCATAGTCTCCATAAGTAAGTAAGAGGATTGCTTTCTTTAAGTCTGGAATTGAAATGGAATACATTGACATAAGGGTGGATCCCAGCCCCCAGACTCTCCCATCCCACCCAGTCAAATCAAAGGTTTCAGCTGCTCTTTATTGATTAGATTTCAGAATATGGGACTAGCTTCTCCCTTAGGTGCAAATGAGCAGCAGATGTTAATTATCCTGTGTGTCTACATGTGTGTGAGTGGGAGGGTGGAGGGTTTATGTACAACAGTCTGTGAACTACTTTGCTAATCTCACACTGTAATGTGTGAGCAGGTCAAACGGCCAACGTGGGGTTCTTCCCTGATAACATTTTTTTTTCTCGTTACAAACAAAAACGACCAGCTCACTTCACTCTGTTTCTTCATCTTTTCTCATGTTTATGATAAATGGAAGAAATAGCAGCGGTTCTATTAATTTCGACCTCACAGCAGATCAATTTCTATAAAGCACGGGGAATGATGTAAATTTACATCAAAATATGGATGTATTCACACAGCTAGACGGAGCAAAACAGTATCAATCATCACCTGGGATATGTTTGGCCCAGCCGATGATCACCACCAGCTCGCGGTCAGCGAGGTCGCACAAAGTGGTCAAGGCCTTGATATCTCCATCAGGCATGGTAGGGTCGGGCATGGCATAGATCTTCTCTGGTTCCACCACCAGGAGATGGGAAACGATCTTTGTCACTAAGACGTAAACGAGTGGATGCAGAGACCATTTCAATATTTTATGCAAATATTAGTGTAAGAAAAATAGATCAAATAAGCAAATAACATTTGGATACGTACATGGCTTTTTGGCAGGAGGGGGAATTGTGAGGCCGAGGTAGGTGCCATTTTCTGTGTCCAACCTCCGCTTATACTTCTGTCGTCCTCCTCTGACCCGGTCCAGACGCACACCTGAAAAGAGATGATCATGTTTTTATGATGGCAGCAAAAATAAAGAGACTATAAAAATTGATTACAAGTATTTATTTCTTCAAGACATTCTCATTGGTTCTTGTTACTGCCTCATTTTTCTCTTTATCAGCTAAATTTTATAATTGGATCCATACAAGACTGACAATCTTATATTCAGCTTTGAGGGCTTGAGACTAATTACTTTACACTCTGCTGTGAGTTATTATGGGAAACATGGAGTTATTTTATTTGTTATAAAACTATTCAATCAATGTTTCAATGAAAATTCTGTGCTTCATTCATGATTTTATGAAGCACTGACAAAATAACTCTTCTTCACTGAGCAGCATATTTCTAACTCAAAGTGAAGTCAGTGTTTTGGTTTCCTGAACATATAAGTAAGGAGCAGGTCTGCCATTACATAAATCTATTCCCATATTTGCAGATTTTGACTTTCAAGTTCGGCTGCTCAGTGGCGGTCTAAGCACACAACCGTGACACATCTGGGATTATCTCCAAAGCCATTGCAGAGGACACCGACTTGATGCACCTTGTGTGCCGAATTTACACGCGTGTATTAAAAGTTGTTTGAGTACTGAGGGAGAGCAAACAGATTTTACATGGTCAAGTGGAATTGAGTCGTGTGAGATTTCCCAGTGACTCATATAAATTCCTTTGATTCCCCTGGAAACAAAAGAATCCGATTAGGATGGTCTTTCAATTTCCTGACACCGACTATCCACTAACCTAATTACCCAGCATGCCCAGAGGGAGCTCATTCTTCCCAGCAAACACAGTGAGATCATTTTATGCCTGGCAGATTGAAGCTAAATCGAGAGCCCCTCTCTTAACACAGCTTTCCATTTGTACGCCTTAAAGTAATCAATAAGGCTTGCAAATAGACTTCTTGTTCTTTGAACACATGTGGATGTGGTTTTAATTAGTCAGTTAGGCAGTCAGGACATAGCTTTGCAGTAGAAGGTGCTTTAGTTGTTGTTTTTATCATTACTCTTGCTTTAGTTAAATTTGAAATAATAAATGATACTTCAGGAAATAATGTGCATGTACTCAAGTTATTGAATCAATTCAAAAGCTTCTCTCTATTTAACAAAACAAACAGGATTAATAAAGGGATATGCACTTAATTAAGGGTTTCCCAACAATACGTGTGTCTGATGCAGAGGTATATTAGGTTGCTTTAAACCATAAATTTAAGGCCAGTGAATTGTCTCTGCTTTTGTCCCAGATTTTGGCAACTATGCAAACTCAAATACGCACGCACATGCTTGCTGGTTTCCCTGCAGTGGGCTGTTGGGTCATGAGGCTGTGACAAGCGACAAGTGACCAAACAGCCGGAGTTTGAATTCCAAGATCCACAGGGGCTGTTTGAACTGGAACATCCAACTGGCCCATAATTAATAGTCGCTGACAAGAATTAAGAGCTCAGCGCTAACCAGTTTCAGTTTACAGCTTAGCGGCACTGAAAACAACTGAGACCTGAGGCTGGAGGGGCACGGATTATAAGAGTGGAAAAAGAAGGGGTTAGATAATGCTGAAGAATGCGAGGGATGGTACACCAGACAAAGGACGCTGTCGTTTTTTGGCTTAGTGTATCAGTTTTCCGCAAGATCCTCATTTTTATTTTCTCTGAGACTCTTCCTTCGGCCTGCCTCCCGCTCTCCTCCCCTCAGCATAGGATGTACATCTCTACCCTCACAGCTCTGCCTGTCCCTGCCAGCGCCAGATCCGACCAAGGCAGGATAATCTCCCCCCATGTGACATGGAACAGTACTGAGAATCTGACCACAACAAGACAGCTGGATGAGGCCCCTTGTGGAGGGCTAGGGAGTGAGGAGGAGGGAGATCATGGTCAGCAGCACATTCCACACCTCAGGCCTCACTACCACACAAGCTCCCATTCTTCAGAACAATACAGGACCAGGAACAAGCTTGTGATGTGGGTGCAGGTGGATTGGCATCTTAAAAAAATCAGACCTTTTTTTGTTGTTGTTTGTTTTTCATATTCTCATAAAGTGTGTAAAAAAGATTGGTGAGGTAATAGGGTAGAAGGAGTGCGAATGCTAGATGTTGTTAATTTGCTATTGCAATCTGTATCACATTGTGCCGCCTGTCAAAGTGGGACTGAGAAAACAAATGTCTGCTCTTGTTATGTGCGTGTTTATGTGTGTGCAGAAAGAGGATGAGGTGTATTTACATTCAAGCAATCTTTACGGCCAACTGACCCCGGCTTCCCTTTCACATTCACTCTCTTTATTGACTGGTAGAACATCAAAGCAAAATCCCGACTGAAGCTGCTGTGTTTTCCTGCGGCTTTATGTGCGCTTTGTCTGTGGAGTCATTTCACTCTTTAAGGTGGTCATAATTTATTAGGTCAATTGGAAGCTCTTTCACTCAACGCACAGTTCCAGTAGTCGTTTTATGTTTTGTGAAAGTCTTTTTTCCTTTACAATCCAAACCTTAAGAAATAAAAGCCAGTGAAAGGAAATAATAAATCTTGCATTTATTTGTTTGGCTGGTAAATTATATCCAACTATTACTTCACTCATATTAAATTCTCAATGCTACCGCACTCAAATCAATGAATCCTATGTTTCCAATTTTTCACAGTGGGAAATTGAGACTAGAGATGCTGCTTGTAAGATACTAACAACGTACTGTGTTTGTATTTCCACTCTACCACTCCATAGTTAGCAAAAACATTCAATTCCTGCACTAAAAACAAAGAACTTTATTTTTTGTGTCCTTATTGTAAAAATCGGGAAAAGAAAAATGCAAGCAAACCAAATCTAAAATATCTAACTTAAATCTTATTTCTTCCAGAAAGCCTAATCACAGCTTTACGTTCACTGGATGATGAAGACGCCCTTCTGAGGACAGACCCCATTGCGCAAATGTGCATGTGGCCCGTCAGCACGGTGTGAATCCAGATTGCGTATTACTATCTGAACACGTGCACGTGTGTAAATGTGTGTGTCCATCTCCAGCAACTATTTTCAGGCCCTCACCTGTCAGAGGCGCTTCTTTCGAGAGAATGTGTCAGAAGTGGCTGGCTAACGCTGCCAAAAGGAGATTAGGAGCTCCCTATTTTAGCTGGGAAAAATCAGAGGGATGCAGTGCACCCCTCTCTTCCTGAACAGTCGCTCACCCTTCTCTGAGCACACGGACGGTGCCCTTCCTGCTAAATGCCACGAGTCTGCCAGCCTTTAAACAGTTACAGCGAGCATTGGGCAGACTTGTTTTTTTTTTCTGGGTGGGCTGTTTTGGTGGAGGGAAGACAGAGAAATATCAGGATGGTGCTCCACCTGCTCCGATTGGAGCATGACAGGGCAAAGCTGGGGCTGTTCTTTCATAACCCAGAACACTGGTCAGAAAGACCGGTCATGTTTGACACTTTTCGTAAAACTGATCTGCCGTGTCCAGTGGCATTACTACGAATTACAGAGTCGACCCAAAGCACAAATGTGCCTGTAATCGAAAACATCTGCGATCCGGAGATGACCGGGTCGATCCCAGGATCCCTGGTGCGTTGGTGTGAAAGCTGATCAAATCGTATATCGCTTATGTGTTGGTGAGGGCAAGAGAAGAAAGAAAAATAATGGAGAAGGGTGTCTGCAGGAAACATGTACCCCCAGCTCCATGTCGCTTGTCAAGAGTGATATACACTTGACGTGTGTATATGAATGTGTGTTCTGTACGATAGGGTTGTAAAGAGGTCAGCGCTTCTCTAAATCCCCCTCTTCAGAGGAACACGTGTTAGCCTCCGTGTCTGATCTATCACCTGCCAGACAGTGAGGACAGGCCAGCACAGAGCCTTTGGGTGGGCGCTGACTCTCAGCTGCAGCCTGCCAGCGACTCTGACACCCCAGAAAGAAAACAAGGCCCCACACATACACTGTTCCAGAGACAACTTTGAATACAGAGGAAAGAAAAATCCTTAACTAATACAGAGGAATGCTCGCAAAGCCGCAGCTATACAGACATACTTTATATTTTTATTTTGATGATGTAATCCTGGTATATAGATTGGTTTCTGATTCAAGCCTATTGATTGGGAAGGGACCTGACAGTCTGTGATATTGGATATAGCTTTACTAATCTTTTGTGTATGTGGCTGAAGGAAAATAAGGCTGTAACATTACCCTGGTAGCCACGTTTGCTCAGGAAAGACTGCTGATCCCTATCTGTGGTCGGGCGAGGGTGAGACAGCGGTGTAGGTTGCCAAAATAGTCTGGCAGCTTGTATTCATCCTCCACATTACAGCAGTGTCAGAAAATCTCTACAAAAACACCCAACTATCACTTAAACATCCGGCTCTGATTTCTAAAGAGCAAAGGCTTAAATGTCCTTTATTGAAACTGTTAAAGACTTTCCTTTATTACAGAAACTGAGTAGGTCTGCGAAGTTGGATCCTCATGTATGAGTGAGGGAAGTTTTAACGTGCTTATGTGTTAACACGACAACACAAAGATCCAAATATTCTCCTGTATATTAAACAACACCGAAACACTCCGAATAAATCAGTGAAACCAAATCAAAACGCACAGTTAACATACACATTCAGTCCTGAGAATTCTTGCATCACTTAGCACCACGTGGCAATGGTAAGGGGTATTAGCGCTGCTATTAGCTGCGGGCTTCGGCTCCTGGCAGTGGTTACTGACACCATTCCTTCCGCGAGTTGTAATTACGTGAGAGTTTTTCCATTGGACCTGTGACCTTTTTTCAGCATCAGCCGGACATTCAAAGGGGTCAGCAAACGAGGTTGGTTTGCTCAAGTAGTCTCACCCCTCACCCAGCTCATCCCGACGCTCCGCTGTGACACAGCAGAAACATCGGATCAGGTGGGACACCTGATGGGACCGGATTTCGATGACTCTACTGTTTTTTTTTCTCACACTCAAGATGGAAAAAAAAACAAAAAAACTATTTTTTCAACCCTACTCCCCCAGAGTTTCTAAGATATTGTAGGGATGTAAAACACACAAACGTTCACTTTCTTGAAACAAGTGGTTTCCCAAATCTTGCACACGTTACAATACCTCATTTTATTCTGACCATTATACAACTCCCAGCACACCCGAAGCTCAAAAATTCTGCTGGAGATTTGAAGTCAGTTGATAGTGGCAGGTGGAACAAAGAGGAGGGTTTTTTCCAGCCTGCTAATAGTTCTGAAGAACTCTGGCAGCTGGCACTTTATGATACAGGATGACATGCATGGCATGAAGTTGATAAATATTTTATATCCTATACTGACCACATCAAGCCTCCCAGCATCTTCGGCAAAATATTTCTTAAGTCCAGTGTGTGTGTGTCTGTGTGTACACATATAAATGTGTGTGTATCACACAGTCTTTGAAGCCTTTAAAAACCTTGGCACTATATGAAGCAACAGAGCAGCATCAGTGGAAACAAACCACCACCCTCACACACGTATAATCTTGTCTTGATAGCTTGCAGTAAATTGTGACTGAACTCAACCATGAGATATATTTGGTGCTGGAAGATCAGAACAAAACTATGACACCGCATTTTTATTTAGGAATATTTAAACCTGTAAGGGGAGCCTCTAAACAGATTGATGCGATTCATACAATTTTTCTAGATTCATAAATACTACATTTGATTACTGTGAATAGGAATACGTTAGGCAGCGACCGAGAAGGTATAATTACTTTTATTTATGAAGTCCTGACAAAAGATAAGGCACATTTTTAAATTGAATTTGCTTGCAGATTTAATCATGCTTTTTAAAGCAAATTCAACATTGCTGACATTATATATTAATTTATTTTAAAATTTGTTTTAGATTTAGTGTCACTAGTTAGAAATATGTAAAGATATTAATCATAATAAATAAGACATTTCTAAGATCTGGCAGAATGCAAGACAGAAAGAATTCTGAGTTTCAGGTTTAATAATAATATACAAAATAAAAAGAAAAAGGTATTGTTTTTATAGCTAAAATAAAAAAAAAGTTCCCAACAAAAAACAAAACAGAAGACATTTTTCTCATTAAAAAAAGGCAGTAAACAAAAGAGAAAAAAAACCCTCTCTCAGTTACATTTTCCCCCTGTACTCCCCGAGGTCTCACACGGGAGGAAAAACAACTCGTGCAGGAAGTGAGACGGCATGTTCGGAAAGCATTTAGTGGATCAATATGCCAGGCAGGAGAGGGGAAGGGAGTCAGACTCAGACTGAGAGAAAAGGAGAGACACCCAGAGCCCGGGGGAGAGGGAAGTCTTGGGGGAATGGCCTGTGCGCTTTTCAAGAGTACTGTTACACATTTCAGTCAGTCTCGGTAAGAACATCCAACTCAGCAGCTTTTCCAGCCCATCTAAGCTAAGCACACAAAAGCTCAGTGGTGTAAGGAGATGTAAGTAAAACTCATGGGTGATGTCACTGGTGTCTCCCCATGGCCATGGCAGGCTTTAAAATGTAAAAATTCAACTGCCCCCAGCCCTGAAGATGAACGTTTTTTTTTTTAAACAGTTTAATATTTATTTGAAATACTATTTCTTTTTTTGAGCTAAAAAATATTTTGTGAAAAAGAAAATAGCTCTTAGCTTTATCACAACATATTCACTGGAGCGTAGACACTTCAGAGGACATCATTTGACTATTTGGCAAAAAGGAAGGGGAGTTGATACACAAGATTACAGCATAATTTTTTTCCATATTAAAACTAATGTCTGTTAACAAATTAATCAGCGCTCTGTTGATCTATTCATTCACTCTGCTTCTTTTATTCTCTCTGCTCTCTTTTTTTTCTTTTATTCTCTCAATGTTTATTTTCTAAATCTGACGGAAAAGAACAAACGAAAAAAAGACAGGTTTATCAAAAAAGTGTACTCACCTTCTTTCAGCATGCCAACTTTAAGACATTTCATGAAGCGGCAGGCCTGGCAGGACTTTCGTCTCCTCTTTGTGATCTCACACTCGTTGGTGGCTGGACAGCTGTACTCAATATTCCCTGTGGAAGATTAGAAACACGAGTTCATTATTCGGTGTACCTGAAAGATATGCATCAGCAATTAGGAATAATTTGTTTTGAAATGACTGCGTAAGAAAAGGAGATCGAATCACAAGTGATAAACAATAGGCGCAGAAGGACAATTAAAGCAACAATCACACGCGTGTGCACACACACACACACACACTCGTACCAAGGTGACCCTGTGTGACACCCCTGAAGGAGAGGAGGTTTTAGAGGCATTTTGATGGGACATTTAAAACGCACCTCCCCACCCAGGAGTCCCACTACCATTTTGATCCACAGATAAATTAGCTTCATTAATGCAGAGCTTCTCTCTCTGATGCTCACAGTGACCCTTTTCAGCCCATCCTTCTCTGCACAAAGGATTAGGGGAAATCTTGTCCTCCACAGAGCACAATGTTATACGTCCAGTAAAGACCGGGAGCTGCTGTTAGACTGGGTGATCTAAGGCACCCATATCATGTTGCCAAGCTCAATGTATTATTCAAGTCCGTCGTGACGGCTGCTGGCTCACTATAGAAATATTTCCTGTGCAATTTAATCACTCGGATCCAAAAACAGACAGAAATGCAGACATATTGAATCCGCTGCCTGTCTTTCTCACCAGATTCCGGTCAACTTAGTTTTTTTTTTTTCGGAACCATTATGTACTCCCTTCAAAAGCTGCCATGACCCTAAGAATCCCATGACAAATCCTCTCTCCAAAGCACCCACGTCCTATGATTGAATGTTTAAACAAGGTCCCATAAGCCCAGAGACATATTAATGGTACCTAAAAACAGCAAACCAGGTGTTGTCTGTTGCAGATCTGCCAGATCCCCCCCTCACTCCCTACACACACACACACACAGACACACACAACCCCCTGTTGGTCAGGGAGAGGGTGCCAACATTTGTCAGGATCCTTGGCATGGATGGTGCCAGTGGGGTCACAGGCACAGTTAGGGGCCCAGGGCACCATGCCAGGATGTTGGCAGAGACTGCGGCCGGATTCAGGCTAGGCAAAGTCTGTTAAACTGAGAGGCATTAGCAGAGGGAAATAAAAGTGCACCACAGCAGTCAAGTGCGGTGGTGCACATCGTGTGTAAAAGCTTCACACAACAAACAGCTGAATAATTGTAGGCAGTACACCATTAACAATACCTATGCTTACATTTTTATAATTATTTAAGTGTATGTATCTTTATGTAAACATTAAGTACAGCTCACTGCTAATTCACCATTGCATGTTGCAATAATTAATGATTTTTTTTTTATATACACACTTACTACACTGCAGGCGTTGTCAGATCGATTGAAACGAAACTGAGTGTCTTTTTTTTATATAACTGTGGTCTTTAAATTATTGTATACACTTTTAACGACTTATGCAAATAGAAACACAGCAGAAGAAATAGTGTTAAATAGGGGATCTGTTACTTTGAGATATAAATTAAAAACTGTAAATCTAGTTTCTAAATTCAGTTGCCAGTCACAGCCATTCCGTTCTCTAAACTCTCACCATCTGAAAAACTGACACCCATCATAATGATGCATCCTGACAGTTACTACGCATTATTTTTTAGTGCTTGTGTATGTTATATAATGAATTTGGAAATGCGTACCTATTCCACTGTCAGGAAATTAGATTGTAACATTGTACTTTATTTCATGTAATATGACCTGCAGCAATACTTTAAATGTTACCTTACTGGTCTGCAGAGTGAGACATTTTAACCTCTAATATACTTATTATCTTTAGCGTTTAGAGAACAAAATGTGTTTAAAAATTTCCAGAGCCCTCTCCAGGTTTTAGGAGTATGTATGCTGTCTGAATTGTGCACGTAAAATAAAAAACAATCAATGTTAAGGTAAAGGAGATGGCTTTCACTACACGGGACAGCAAACACACTCAAAACTGGATTAAAGGTAGAATTTGGATAATGGCAGGGTTAAACACTTTAACCTTTGCCTGTTTAAAAATACAAAGTATCATTGACAAATTTTTAAAGGAAATCTTTTTGAACCTGTATTGAAATAGCCCGTGTGGCTGCTTGTTCAGGCATTCACATGTGTGTGTGGGTGGCTGCATTGGGGGTCTTCTATCGACTAAAAATGCGTATCTCTAAAAGCCCACTGTTGGCATGCCTTCTTAGTTAATCAGGTCTTGCGCCCACCTTTATTTCTCAAAGGACATTTCCACCACTCTAATATCCTTCCTTAACCTCTCTTATTTTCTCTCTAAATTTTGATATATTATTATGCCATGCTATTATCCACACACTCATCTCCACTCTCGCTAGACCTCTCCTTGTCCTCCTCCTTTACCGAGGCCGGGACCCCCCTTTCTGATTACCATTCCATTAAAATGGCTTCTCCATTCTGTGAATGACCATGTCCCCTGTCCCTACGCTTTTATTTAGAGGACTCCTCACCGCATGGCTTTCACTCCGTCCCCTTCTCCTGTTATTGCCCCGACCACACGTGCCTGAGCTTCTAATTGGCCCCCATCCCCTTCCCCATGTGTGACGGCTGCAGGGGCCCGGGGGCACAGAACAGATCCACACCTCCCAAGCTTTTTCTTTCTAGACGTTCTCCCAATGAAATGCCTGACTCTTAATTACAGTCACACAACACTGATTGTTATTGACTGAAACTCCCGTGGCTCAGGACAAATGATGGACAGATTAAGCTTATTACAGGCCTGTCCTCCACAAAAGAGAGGGCCAGGAAGAAAAAATAGAAGAAAAGGGACCCGAAAAATACATATTAACAAATTGCTTATTTTGTATGATTTCAAAATTTCTTATACTGAATACATATATATATATATATGTAACAAACAAAATATTAGTCATTAAGGAAAATTAAAAAAAAAAGTTATCTCATATTAACGTTTAAGAAAAAGTTGCTGTCAGCGTATTAGGTCTTCAGAAATATCAGCAAAGTGTAAGTAAGAAAAGTGCAGGATTATAGAAAAAAATAGAGTTGGTTAATAAAAGGAAAAATATTGAAGTCTGCTTTGTACCTTTTATACACAATTTCCAATTCACAGCGTATCTGTTTTAGCATAATTTTCCATACGCTGTTTTAAAAAGACACCTCTCAGTGTGGAAGGTGGCCCATGACACCAAAAGCTTTTTTTTTGCTGCTTTTACACACACGTTGGAGTCTAGAAATGTTCTGAAATGTTTTTGAATGGTGATGTGTGAAAAAGAAAATGTCCACATCAATAGTTTTGGACTCAATGAAGGTTAAACTAAAAAATGTACCCGGAGTCTTCTCATCAGTGTCAGACAATTTCAAATACTGACTTTGTTGTGAGTAAACTTCGTATTTATCAGTTTTGCTACCTACATTTGTGGCAGACATGTGGAATATAGGCCCCATGATAAAGAGACACAAAATGAGATTTAGAGAGAGCTGTGAAGAGCCTCATCCTGGCGATTACATGAAGTCATGTTTTTTTTCATAAACCTTTGTATCTGCACTAATCCTGTTATGGCTTTTGATAACCAACAATAAGATTACATTACATTTGCCTGCCTCGCTAACCACCAGCTTTACTTTATGCGTCAGGACAAAAAACAAAAAATACTTTAGAAAAATATATTGAAAAAATATAAATAATATCTGCATCTTAGTTTGAGGCACAATACATTACATCGGCACCAATTATTACTCAGGAACAGATCCCGAGTTATGATTCACATACAAAGACATTAAAATCACAACCCAGAACAGATTTACAGTCTGAGCCTAATGGCTGCTGAAGACATGTAATAGCTATACCATATTAATGCCATGAGAAGGGTTGGATGGCAGCACTACACAAGCTAAACGTAACAGGAAGCACCTGAACTGGCGATTTCAGGGCTGTCATGGTAAAGCCACTGAAACATGCACAAAATCACGATGTAAAAGGAGTGCATTTGAGTAATTTGTGTACATTTAAGTTCTTGATGATCTAAACATTATTAACACATTCAGATTTATTACAATATTTTCGCTTGAATATTGTATTTGGTTAATTTTTTCAGTCATATACTTTTTCAGTCATATACTCTCCTGTGAATCACGTTTTCAAACTTCAGACACCTTGGAAAAGAAAGACAAAAGAAATAGCTTCCGTTTACAGCCGAGTCAAGCTATGTTTGCAGCTCGACTGTAAAATTTAACTGGGTAACTGTTTGCATGCCCGCATATGTATGCATGAGAAGGGAATTGAGTTATTGACTGAAGCATGCCCAACCTTTGCCCCCACTTGCCTTGTTAGTGTTAGGCCTCTTACAGCTGACCCATTGCATTACAGGCCAAGACAAATGATGACAATCTAGCTGGTGGCATATCATTATTATCTCATTCAACCCCCCATGTTATCTTGGTATGTTGATCTTTCTTCGAGTAATTGATATTGTGTGATTCAGGTTTGAATATAATGTTCAAACAAATGGTCTGACTAACACAATGGTTAGACTTTTTTTTATAGTGTTTTTATAGTGTTATAGCCAAATTGTGCACAAGGAAAACGAGAAAAACATTTGACCTCTATGGCAACAGCCACAATTACTGAATTGGAATTCATTAACTGAGCAAAAATGGTGTTATACAGATTAAAATCAGATGAAGCTGATTAATCAACCACAGTGGATTCTTTTCCATCAGCTTGACTTGGGCAATGGAATTGTACTTTTTAAATTGCTGTATTGGTGCTTTTACAAGAAACTACACCATCACCTGAGAAACTACAGAGAGCACAATTTTACAGACGTTAGGGATCAGATCTGTGATAGTCAAAGAAGAACAGGACAAATACCTTGTATAGTCCTTTTGAAAAAGGCTTTGCAGGCCTCACAGGAGGCCACCCCGTAGTGGTACCCTGAGGCAATATCGCCACACACCAGGCATAGCCTCTTAGGAATGGCGTTGAGCATGTACTCGCACTTGATTGGCGAGTCGTCTGCCATGCCGCCGGACCATTCCTCATAGCGGCGTAAGCAGGCGCCGCCGCCGCCAAGCATGGCCGGGTTGAACATCGGTGGGGAATCCAATGCGTGTGAACGTCCGCTGCCGTTGACGTAGCCGTTGCTGGCGTCGGAGTTGCCGCTGGGACTGTGGTGACTGCCGGTGTCCACGAGCGAGGAGGACGGACTTGAAGGCTCAGTTTTGACATAAGAACCACAGCTTGAGGAAAGGTGTCGGTCGTCAGAGGGCATTCTTGTTAGCAGCCTGGAGAAACACACACAGAGGCAGAGCAGAGGCAGAGTTGAAAGAAAGTGACGAGAATGAAAAAGTTCATATAGTTACAAATGGTTCATCTAGACTTAGTTTTAATCTTTCCAGATTTATCCCATAGTCAGAAACTGTGAACAGAAATAGCTGACATCTAAAAAAAATAATCAATTTCTTCTTAAATGTCTTTGGCTCTTGAAGATTAATGAATATGACAGAATTGTTATTGACAGCTTCATTCTATAAAAAAATGAGGCCTTTTAAAAAAACCTTGCATACAAAGAACTGCTTTTCTTCGGAGTTGATAACAGGAGTAAACATGTATCAACAAGCTGCAGTACAAATGAAATTATGATGGTGCTTTCAACCATCATTGCCCTGTCATTCTCAGAGAAATTCATCAGCTGGTTCTTCTGAGTTTGATAGATTATGTTACAGACACAACCATTAATGTGCTGGAATGCCAAGTGATATACTGCAGGAGCTTATTTCTCTCAGGCAAAATGGTAACTAACGACCATGTCAACAGATGCTCCATACATCTTGGAAACAATGCCTTCAATTGGTCGGCTGCCAGAAGTAAATGAATGAATGACTGAAACATCAGAAGGCTGTTAATGGACGAAGAGAGGTGTTACACTCAGCATATGGAAGTTCATGGGTAATACATGACCAAATCAATAGTCCTGGTTATTTTGCCAGTCAGTGGTGCTGGGTTACAGATGGCCGGTGAGTAGGAACTAAACTGGGAGGGCAGACTTAAAAACAGGTGCATTCCCGTGCAAACACACAGAAATGAAAGGCTCCCAAAGCTCTGTGATTTCTAGTATTATTGGCCTTGTAGAACACTTTGTGTAGTATATTCAAAAGGAAACTAATTGAAGCAAAACTTCTGTAGAGGTTAGAGCTTTGAAAATCAATTTAGCATTTTGCTTAAAGCAGCGCTGTGTATGCTGTGTAAAGTACAACAACTATCATTAGACAGGGGTTTATCTTTGAGGCAGTAAAGCTTTTTTATGTTGCTGTACTAGCAGAACATTCAATAATATTCTCTTCAACAAAGCATGAAATTAGGCCTGGGTCTGAGTTGGAACTGCTGGCTCTGTCTGTCACAGTTGCTGTCGATCTTCCACAACATTGGCCCCTATGAGTCCTAGATACTGGCTGAGAGTGGTAGAGAGAAATGTCAAGAATGTCTGAAACAAACAGCAGTGTAATGCTGGTTAGATTCGTCCATTTCTTTCTGTTTCTATGCCCAGGGATACTCCGTTTTTAAATCCGGAATTACGGTCGGAGAAACATTTTCCCCACTTTGCCTTTTTCAAGTTATAGAAAGCCAGTGAGACATGAAACTTCACTCTTGACTGCCAGGGGAAGGAGGGAGGAGGAGATAGCCTCTTGCACAGAACCTAGATCAGATCTATCGATCCCCTGCTTCCTTCCTGTTGAAGGAGCGGCATGAAAAAATAAACCCTCCTCTTACAGGTCCCAGACATTCCTTATGCATTTTTAATCAGCAAAGACTGTTAACGTTGTGAGAGATGGAGAGATACAACTTTATGTTAGTCCGCAATATTAGGCCACTGTGGTTTATAAAAGATTCACGGGACACCCGTTCATCTTGTTGCGATCAGCATGCTCCAACATTCAGTCTTTTAGTGTGTTTTGTGATGAAACTGGAGAGAGCGGTGTGGTAACAGTTAATACATCATCACAGCCAGATAGGGGGATTCCCCATGGAATAGTACATTGTGGCATATGTAAAAAGTAGTTCACTCCACACTTAGCATGCTGGGGAGATGTTTTTGTTAGGTTTAATGGAAATTTCTAATGGGTACTTTCAGATATGTCCAAATGAAATAATGGTACGAACCATCAATTCGCACAGACAGAAATAGTTTCATAGTTTTATAATTTGGTTTTACCCCTCTTATTATAAAGAGACATAGCGTACTCTGAGCACGGCCTGACTCTCCTCAACCTGTCCCACTCCCTTGGCAGGACACACACACACACATACACACACACACACACTCAAACGCATTGCACCTAATATCTAATGGGTTAGTGTTTGCTCCGCTGCGCAGAAAAATAGTACAAACGGAGCAGACAAGCAAGACTCATCAGACAGACGTGAAGGTCACCTGCCTTCTCTGTTCTGCTGTGAGATGGTCCCAGAGTGGACGCCTCGGAGTAGCGGAACAGGTTTCAGTCTGTCCACGGCACAGCAACAACCGCCCGTCCAGAGTGTTTAACATGACAGGAACACGGTGCACGCACAAACCAGCGACAACTGCCTTTTGTGGTGTTGGAGCCAAAGTGTGACGGCTGCAGAGAAGTACCCCAACAGAGCAGCTTAAAATCTCAAATGTTTTCATGCGTATGTGTGTACTTTGGCTGTCCTTCCTATGCTGGCAGAGGAGCAGATCCCCAGCTTCCCATCATAAATCCAGAATCCATCCACCTCTATTCCATTCGATTCGTTATACAGTCTCCAGTTTTTAACCCAGTTAATTTATTAGTTAAATTAAAAAAGAAAAAAGACATTTAAAGTGGTTCTAAACAATGACTTACTGCTGTTTTTCAATTATTTATTGTAATTTTTCCCACTGAAGGCAAATATTATTTTTTAAGCTTAGGGTTAAGCTTGTAGCGAACAACACTGCGTAAATCACAGTGCTGAACACACAGTCGAACATAGAAGCAGAGAAGGACAGAGGCAAGGAGCCATGCATGAAATTAGTTCATTAATCTTTCTATGATAGGCTGTCCTTGTTTGGGGCAAACTCTATCAGCTTTAAACGGAGTGCCCCTTCCTGCCTGACACATAGATTACACTGTTAGTCCGTGGTCGCCGTGTCCGGGAAATGAATGGTCATGCGAGGGGGAAAATGGGGTGGCGTGTGTCGTCCAAATGTTAAGTAGGAACAACAACACGCCGACAACGCAGCCTTGGCACAAATGAAGGTCATCAAAAACGTGTGTGTTCTTCAATGCAAATGAGTTACAAGCTGCAGCAAACACTGTCATTTTAAAATCTCTCCAAAAAGACATCGTAAATCACAAGAACAAACCACTATATTTAAAGTCTGAGTTGTAATTCACTGAGTTTGTGCTGTAACCTGCACCGCTTTCAGTCAAGTGAAAACCCTATTGAACTTAAATATTACAATTGAAATAGCGTTTAATTGCTGTATGAATCCAACTGTATATCAAATTCATGCTTCTGTATAATTTTCATACAACTCATTTTTTTACAACTGTAAAAATGAAAATGATTATTTATCTGGTGATTGTTTATGGTTCGATCAATTGATTCTACAATTTGACTGGAATAATGACAAATATCGTTTGTTAATTTAGAAAAAAACACTAACAGGTGCGAGAAGAATTTTCTCCATTATGTTCAAAATCTGCTGTTACACCTTACGAAGGAAAATATTTCCTGAGTTTTTAAAGATTTTAAAGATGTTGGTTGTTTGCGGTTTTATTTCAGGATTTGAGTTCAATCCAAATGGAGGGCAGAGTGGGACAGCCGAAGAACACTGTGGAACTTTGCTAAAAAAGTTTCGGTTCGAGATTGCTCTCACAACTTTGTGTGACGGCGGGATAGTTTTCACTTTGCTAAGTCCCAGTGGCACGGCGTGTTTACACAGCATGAATATACTTTGTTTTTAATTCTCCGTCTCCCTGACACACACGCACGCACAAACACACGCGTCACACACATCATACACCAAACTCCCAGCATATGGCCTCCTCAATGTCACTGCCACGGGTAGAGACTGCATAGATTTCCCACATGGATGATGTCTCCTTACCTGGAGTATCAACCCCCATCTACATACACATCCACCACCTCTAAGAAATTGCTCTCTCTGCAAAGTCAAACACACCCCTAACTGCCTTTTAAAAAGAGACAGAAGAAGGAGGCTACGAGGGGGGAGAAAGAATAAACGAGTGGAGACTTAAGCCGTCATTGGGAATCAGAGGAGGACTCATGAGGGACAGTTACGATATTGATTTCAGAAATAAACAGAGATGGCCATCGATCCTAATGTTATTTTGCATTTCAATTACTGCTCAGAAACATAACCTTCAAACGTCTGCTCCTCCACAGTAATAACATCCACTGATAATCACAAGCCAGTCTTGTTCGGCATAAATTGGCTTTTCTTCCACCCCCCCACCACACTACCTTTTTTCCCCCTCAAATGTGTAAATGACACAACTTTGCATTTGCCTAATGGTATTAGGGCATGGACTGAATTTCAAGTGAGACTCAAGCTGATACAGTAAGCGCTCAGATCAATTGACACAATGCAAATTAACGTGGTGAAGAGGAATTAAGTTCACAATGTGAGACCTCGCGAAGCTACGATGAGGCCTATTAAATTAAACATGCTACTTGACCCACACTCTATGATTAGACATACCGCTTCTTCTCTCTGTGTGTTAATTTCATTAGATCAATAAAACAAACTCCTTCTCAAAAGTCCTCTCAGCAGTTTAAGCTCAGTGCTGATCACATGAAAGACAGTTTTGTGTTTCGAGTGAGCAGCCGCTGGAAAAAAGACCCATCCACATCCTCATGATTTTAGATCCCTTGACATACTTCCTAAAGGAAATTACCATTTCAGGGAAGGTCATGAACATGTTATGAAGTCAGTTTGCCTCTCGTGCCATCACACTAAACCAGAAGAGCTTAATTGTCTCCTCTTTTTGAGGCTCAATTAAAAAATGTGGCAATCATCAGAAAATTCAGGAGCAATTTTTTTGGTTGCAACTCACTCTTGTAATGATTTCTAAACTCTTTTCTGCATGAAAAGCTGAGCGAGCACAAGACAATAGGATTTATTTGGATTTTTTTTTTTGTTGCAAATGCTTCAACCATATCTTAAACATTTGGTTACTATCTATAGCTTAGAAACTTTGGTACAAAGCTGGGATGTATAACTCGCCCATACAAAGAAAAGTTTGAATAATTGTCGTATGTTTTGGCACAAAGCAAAAGTGACATTTATTCTTTAAAGAAATGTAGTCTAAAAAAATCATTGTCCTTTTGATTTGATACAATTAATTGCAACAACATCCACTGGCTGGTGACTACTTGCATATTTGCAGTGCCTGAATTCACATTTTCCACAGAAACGGACACCTGCAGGAAATTGCGTATAAATCTGCTACTACATTCCCTGTATTGCCGCTAACAAAAAACTACACAGTTCCAAAAGCGCTGTTGTTTGTCAGGATAACATTAAATGGGTAAAGTACATTTTTCTTAAATTTTTTTTTGTCTTTAAATATTAGTGACTCAGTGAATAGTTCTCAGATAACTGTAAGGACTGCGCTTTGTTACTATTTGTGAAACTCTCATGAGGAACGCAGATGAGATACATGTTAAGAAGATGTGTTTCTCTTAACAGACACAGTCAGGTGTTTCCATGTATGGCACTGCTAAAATTAGATCCTAGGTCAGTGTGCGATTCTTTGGTCTAATCCGCATGTCCGTGCACATATGCGTGTCTATGATTGTGTCTTTGTGCATGTGCATACATTTGGGCACTTATGCATTCCTGCTTGTTTGCTTGTGAAGGGCACCTATGTGAACAGCAGGTGGAAGGAAAAAATATGGATTTCATTTGTTGCAGCGAGGTGAGCATTTACAAAAATGAAATGATGAACTTCTCCAAACTGTCCTGGCTATTCAGAAATGATTAAGTAATCAAATAATAAACTTTTTGAGAAACATTTACATTAGCGGGGCGAGTCTGGAAAAGTCGTAACAGTCAGTCATGTTTTCTCAAAACGAGCATCCCTCCATGAGTTAAAAGAAAATCAGAAACTACTCAAAAGTAAGACGTGGACTGCAGCTTTCTTCAAAATGTATATATAAAAAGTGTGGATAATGGATTAATTCTAATATCATATAAAAAGCTTAATGAAATCCGGCTTAGTTTTTTCTTTATCTCACATATGGGCATGATATTAATTTGGTTACACGCCAAATCGAATATCCCAATTTGTTTAGGAAAAAGAATTTTTGAACACAGACTACAGGTGTGACAGCCTCACTGTCGTCAAACCTTTCACCGCTGACAAGCGAGTGGCTCTGCCAAAACTTCACCAAAGAGTTTGAAGCATTTTTCCAAAGCCAAACCTTTCTGGACAGCTTTGTTTCAAACCAACTGTACACATTTTGGGTCACTCAGTTTGCAAACAGATGAGCAATGGCAACACTGGCATTTCTTAGACTTAAAATATGGGATAGAATGATTAACAAAGACGTGATTTTAATTTGATCCTAAAATACACTGAACTCCAAGAGAAACAGGTACGTGGAGCTGAAAGTTTCTTGAGGTAACGCCACTATAAAAAAACGCTATCTTTTGAAACACCACTAAAAAAATTATTAATAAAATTCAAAATAATGGAATATTCACTAATAGATACTGAAACACTGCAAAAATACTCACAAGCAAATGTATGAACTTTAGGCATGCAGAAGCACCAATTATTGATTATTATGCATGAATGCTTCCACACATTAGGATGCATTTACACACAGTCCACTGTAGTGGGGCACACACAGCGTACAGGGACCCGGGGTCATGGATTTTGCCATGTTGACGTTTGAGTGCATTTTTTCTCTTGTGGAAACTTTGCTTAAAAAGATCTAAACACGAGAAAAAAATATTGCTTTAATTTGGGAGTTCTGTTTTCTAATGTTAAATAAAGTTTAACAAGACAGCACATAGAATATACATTTAAACTGATATCTATTTACTGTCAAATGGACAGTAGACAGCAGCTGTGCAAAAGTAGATTCAAAGACATGAATCTACTGATTACATTCTTTAATAGTGTATCCAGAACGTTTATGTGCACTTTGAAACTCAGAGCATTGTCACTGTTGACATTTCCCCAATTTAATACCTTTGTGTAATTTTAAAATTCAGATGAATAGAAGAAAAATTATATAAAAAAACAATAATAATATGATTGTATGATGCACAATGAGATCCCAGCGAAGACTAAAAATAATCACCTTTTTAACGAGAGGAGAAAAAATTCATGCCTCAACATTGCTTAGCCATTTGCCTTTATAAACATATTCCATCTGAAATCTTTTTATGCTTTGATCTAATTGGAGTTCTACTAAAGTTTACAATATAAACTGTCCAGCATTTGATCACAGCTGTTTGATAGAAAATGTTGCCTTTTGCAGGTCTAATCATCCATAGTGACAAAACGGTAAGCAGTTCTTAGCACGTTAAAACTCTCCAATCCCATTCAAGGCTTTACGATAATCTGCTGCATAGCTTCCTTGTTTGTTTGCGTTTGTATGTAAAAATGACTTTTACAGAGTTTAGCAGCACTAAAGGCTGGTGCTCACAGCCAGATTTGAGAACCCCTTTAACTTCTTTTTGAAATACTGTAAAGCAACTTGCTTGACCGCAACACTTTTAATTGCATCACTTCTACTTCACCATGGAGATAATTAATTCTTACTTATCGCTTAATTTTTTAATGGATATGAATTAATCACAAAATGAAAAAAAGACTATGTATTAGGGCTTTATCTAAAACACACACACAGGTGTGTGACATCTGAAATAAACTCTCACTTTTCTCTGAGGACCAAACACTCTCACTAACACTCTCACATATAAGGTATAGCTGTAAAGGCAGTTTTATTTATCCTAAGAAACTGAACTGCCAAGCAGTGTAAACGCTTCTATATGATGGTTCTGGCTCCTGATGGCAGCTATGGGGAACTGTCCACTCTAAACTCCCTGCAGACTTTTCTGCGGCAGCTCCACTGAGCTCAACTGTCCCGTACAGAACACCGCACGGGTCCTCATTATTTCAAATGGTTTATTTTATGCCTCAGCTGTTTTTCTTTCTCTCTTTTTTTTTTTTTTTCTTTCTTGCTTTCTTTTAAAAAAGATATACATAAATTAATGATCTAAATCATAAGGTGCAAAGATAAAAAAGTAGAAGAATAAGAAGGAAAGAAAAGAAGCACGTACTGGTTGTGGTAGCAGAGAGGGTCTGGGATGCAAAGTTCGGAAACATCCATCAGTTCACAATAAGCATTCCAGGTGTTGCAATGAAAAAATAAAAAATAAAAAATCAGAAAGACAAACAGCTAGAGAAAAGCTGAAGGAGGAGATCAGTTCCTGAGTCTCCACATATCTTCATGAAATGATGGTCTACTGTTCCTGGGTGGTGCCTTTCTTCTCTCTTCAGTTCAACACACAGAATAGAAAAAGAAAAAAAGAAGAAGGGAACCCTCTTCGGCACAACAAACTCCCGTCTGCGCAGGTTCTGCCTGCTCAGGCTCAGGAGTACAGATGAGGATGAAAAGAGTGGTGGCACAGAGAGAGAGAGTCGAGTAGTAAAAGAGGCAGAGAAATGAGAGGACAGGGGGAAGCAAGTGCAAAGAAGAAAAAAAAAGAAAAGATAAAGATACAATAAAAAGATAAGAGCCAGATAGATGGAGAGCAGCAGCAGTGAGAGCACACTGTGGCTGAGAAAGTCAGTGAGGGGACTGAGTCTCCATTGAAGACAAGGGGGACTCTTTAACCCGAGGTGGGAGGCGTTTGGTGCATGAGGAGCTGCTGCCATTGGTGGATTTCAGAGAGGCTGTCCTGCCAGCAGCCAATTGGAGTGAAGGATTACAGAGCCGAGATGGACTAATGGGGAACTAGTCAGTGTCCATTCACAAGGGAGAACTGCATAACAGAGGGATGGATGGATGGATGGGGGATAGATAGATA